CTGTTGATTTACAATGGAGAAATCATAGGCATAACAGAGAGGGACAACCACCTTTTTTACAGAAAATCCCAATCTCTCTGTTGCCTCATTCTTCTCATTTTCTCAAACAAAAACCCAAAAAGCTTTGGAAAAAGACCGTCATGGCTGCGAGCATCAGTTAGTCTTATGAAACAGGAAAACACACACAAAAATGGATTTTTCTCCAATATCTCAAAGACACATCTGAGCTGCCACGCCAAGATTACAATTTTTCCCAGCTCAAGAGATTTATAAGTCTGATTAAGAATAAAACCTTTCATAGCCTCATTGCGTCACATAAATTGAAAGGGAGGAAGTAATACGTATTTTCACCAAAAGGGTGGTTTTAAAAACGGACATTTGAGTGATCATCAGCGGCGGACAATCACAGAGGGGCAAAACCACCCAATGAAACTCCCTACAGCTCTCTGCCTAGACCGCAGCCTCAGACATATACTAATGAGTTTTTTGCTAATTTCCTGTTAATCCAATGACAGCCCGGTGCACAAGGCATCCCGCGTTCACACAGGATCCGGGGAAGGACCGCATCCAAGGGGTATGGTATAGACATCGTACCTTAATGCAAGTATTAGTGGTTGCTTTCACGATTCGAACCTGAAGACAACTTAACCGTAGCTTCGAGGCTCCCCTTCATATTTTCCTGTTAATCCAAATCATAGAAAAGATTATCTTCTTTTTTTCTTTTCAGCAAATGGGGCTCAGATGTGTTATGATAAGGCAAAGAGAAGCCAGCTATGCCATGGCTGCAAAACACACCCGTTGCAAATGAGAGACAGAAATCTCAATCACAAGTCATACCGGGTTGCCACGCCGCAAATGAGAGACAGAAATCTCAATCACAAGTCATACCGGGTTGCCACGCCAAGATACGGCTTGGGTCATCTCTATGCCCAAATCGGTTGGCCCAGATACAAGAAACATCACCATCACTGCCTCGTCATGTAACTTCCATCACCAACATAAACATACACACACACACAAAGTAAACACAGATTTCACTGGAAAAAAAATACTTTTTCCGGAATTACACAATTTTTATGTCCAAACGTCCACTTAAATCTTGTCTGCTTCTACTTTTGTCATATTCAAGGGCTGTTGGTTTTTTTCTGAAAAAGGAGGAAAATCAATGGTGGAACAGAGAGGGGCAACCACCCTTCTAATGAAAATCCCAATACTCTCTGTTTTGCCTCATTTCTTTCTAGGCAAACCTTTTTGCATTTTTAGGGGAAATTCTCGTGGGTTTTTCACCTGCGAATTTCAAAATTTAACGGAAAAGAACCTGTAAGTTTGCACTTAAGAAAATAACCTTAGAAGTAGAATTTATCATCCCAACATGTTTCATCCAGACAATGGGGTAGGCTCAGATTCGCCTTTTCTCAGACAAAACCCCAAAAAAGCTTTGGAAAAAGACCGCCATGGCTGCAAGCATCAGTTAGTCTTATGAAAGAGGAGAAACACACACAAAAATGGATAATTCTCCAATATCTCAAAGACCCAACTGAGCTGCCACGCCAAGATTACAATTTTTTTCCGAGCTCAATAGATTTATATGTCTGATTGATCTTCCACAGAAGAATAAAATCTTCATAGCCTCATCGCGTCGCATAAATTGAAACGGGGGAGTAATACATATTTTCACCAAACGGGTGGTTTTGCAATCATACATTTGAGTGATCATTGGCGGCAGAGAATTGACAGAGAGCAGCAAAACCACCCAATGAAACTCCCTACAGCTCTTTGCCTTCACCGCAACCTCAGACTTAAATTAATTAGTTTAATCCAAGGGCAACCCGGTGCACAAGGCATTCCAAGTTGACACATGATTTGGCAAAGGGCACACCCAAGAGATGTGACGTAAACGACATACCCTAATAAAGCATTAGTGGCTACTTTGACGGCTCGAAACCGTGACCTATAGGTGACACGAATACTAACTTTACCGTTGCTATTTTCCTTCCTATTTTCCTGCTAATCCAAATCATAGAAAAGATTAATCTTCTTTTTTTCAGCAAATGGGGCTCAGATGTGTTAAGATAAGGCAAAGAGAAGCCAGCTATGCCATGGCGCTGCAAAACACCAGTTGCAAGTGGGAGACAGAAATCTCAATCACAGGCCATACCGGGTTGCCACGCCAAGATATGGGTTGGGTCATCTCTATGCCCAAATCGGTTAGCCCAGATACAAGAAACAACATCATCACTGCCTCTTTATGTAACTTCCATTAGCAACATAAACACACACACGCAAAAAGTAAATACAGATTTCACTAGAAAAAAAAATTACTTTTTCCGGAATTTTACAATTCTTATGACGAAATGCGCTCTACTTCTGCTTTTGTCATAAACAAGGACTGTTGGTTTTTTTTTAAAATAAAGGAAAATCAATGGCGGAACGGAGAGGGGCAACCACCCTTCAAATGAAAATCCCAATACTCTCTGTTTTGCCTCATTTCTTTCTGGGCCAACCTTTTTGCATTTTTAGGGGAAATTCTTGTGGTTTTTTTACCTGTGAATTTCAAAAATTAACGGAAAAGATCCTGTAAGTTTGCACTTAAGAAAATAACCTTCCAATTGAGGCTCAGATCTGTAATATTGAAGACACGGCAAGAGATTGGAGACACCGCCATGGCTGCAAATATCGGTTGCAAGACGTCACCGTCCGGGTTGCCCCGCCAAGATACGGGTCCAATTGTTCTTTTCCCTCGCCAATTTGCTCAGAGACAGAAGAAAAAATTATCATCACAGCCTCAGATTTTTCATACAATTATTATTAGTAGTAGTAGTAGTAGTACTATCGATTCTCTTTTTGGGAGTGAGTATTTGGAGGTACAGTAGAGGGGTCGTTTGGACATAGTTTACTGCAGAAGGGCATCTTTGGCAAAAATGAAATCACAGGAATTAGCAGAGAGGAGCAGCTGCCCTTGAACTTTCCTCTACTCTCTGCAACCCTCATTCTCTGTCTCTGAGCTTTTGGTCTGATGCTAAAGCTAATACTTAGAAGCAAAAAGTAGTTGAAATTTAAAGAAGAAGAAGATATAGATCTATTTCACAGTGCTTAAGAGGCTCAGATCTGCAAAGAGAGATCGGGCACAAGAGAGGCGACCGCGCCATGGCTGCAAAATAACCGATTGCATGCAAAGAAAAAACCTTCGAATCGCCGGCCGTCCGGTGATTTGCCAGGCCAAGATACGGGTCGGATAGTCTTTATGCCCGATCCAGTTAGCCCAGAATCCGGATAAAATGTCATCACTGCCTCAATTGTTATGTATCAAAAAAGAGGAACTAAAATCACAGAAACAGAAATCTGGCTGTTGTTGTTGATTGATGCTCAAGAAATGACTGTATAGTAGTACGTATTTCCAGGAATTCAAGGGCTGTTGATTTTTTTTAAAGTGGAAAAAGGAAAATCATTGGCTTAACAGAGAGGGCAACCACCCTTTGAACAAAAACCCCCAAACTCTCTATTTTTGCCTCATTTTTTTCTGGGCTAACTTTCTTTGCTGGGATTTCACCAAATGAATTTCCGCCTTTCACTTTATGTGTTCTCTTGTTATAAATACACTCTTGCTTGGAAGAATCTAGAACGAGTTAAGTGGCAATTTATTTTATTTAGGGTAAATATTGACAGTGTAAATGTTTTCTTATATATCAGTAATAGCTTATTTGGCACAAGCTTGTGTTCCACAAAAGTATTGCCTTTTAAGTTAAAGGTTTTTTAAGTTAAAGATTTTTTGTCAGGCTTTTAGAATTACTTTTTGAGAAGAAAAAAAAAAAAATCCACAAAAGCACCTTTCAAGAAGTACTTTTAAAAAATTATACCTAAAAATATTTTTTAAGAACTTGATCAAATATTAATTATCGTTTAAAAGTATTTTTTAAATAATTAATTAAACATAAATTATTTCTCACCAAGAATACGTTTAAAAAAATACTTCATAAAATAAAATAATTTTAAAATTTTAGCCAAACAACTTATATAAATTCTAATAAGTGATAGCTAAAAAAAATACTAATAAGTTACTATCATTTTATAAATATTTAATTAATGCTTATTAAAAAAAAATTATTTTACACTACATAAAATTTAAAGTGATTGCTTTGGTGTTTGGAACTTTGGATCGAATTTCAAGGTCATTGTCGGAAGACTCCGAAACAAGAACACCACGTGACATGGTCTCTTAATTCCCATACTATAAAAATAAAATCGGCAGATAAAAAAACAATAGGTTAAACGCAAAATCATAGTACAGTGAAAGGATGCATTTACCCAAAACTGAAAGTTTAAAACTTGGGGTACGTGATGTAGTATTTATATTTGTATTTTAATTTTAAAATGTGTATAATTGGTAATGAATGTGACAAGAACTATAATTTTCTAAAACATTTTGGTCATAATTTTTTAACTGTAGGTCGCACCTACTTTTCTAGTACCTATGATCCTTCAGTAATCGTTCATGTTTCTTATGTTTCTTTTTTACACGCTCTTTAAATAATATTAAATAATTTTTTAAAATTAATTTATTCTTATTTATATCCTAAGATATAATCTGTATTCATTCAATACTTACTCATAATTAAGGTATTTGTAATCTTCAAGAACAATTAATATTAAGTATAGAATAAAAACAAGATGATTAATTTACACTTAAACTTCTAAAATGACAAATAATTTGAGATAACTATTTTTAAAAATAACGACAGATAATTTGAGATAACGGGAATATAAGTTAAGTGGGTCGAGTTTGTGATATATAGCTTGGAGAATAAAAATTCGTTTATGCATATATTAATAGCCTTGGTATTGCTAATACCATGGTTTACTATACAGTCAACCCTCTCGATAACAACCTCGTTTGTTCCGATATTTTTTTATTTTTATAGTGAACGAATGTTATACACTTATAACAACATTTAACTTTTAAATATTTTTGGCTATTATAGATAAAAAATATCCAAAAATTAATTATTTTTCCTTTTTTAGCGTTACATATAAAAGATAAGAAAATCATTCAAATTTAAAATCTCAATAGATATGCACATTTCACTAGTTAAATATTGAAGAAAACTAATACATTATTAATAAATTCATAACCAAACGTATAAAGATTTAAACTCCAAAGCAGACATTTTAAAGCTACCTAGAAGAATAAATTATTTCAAGATTTATGGAATAACTTTGTAATTGTAGCTTGTTTCCTAAATTTCATTCTCTTACTAGTGATATAACACTTGAATTGGCGAAGATTCGTGTCCAAATTTTCAGCAAAAAGGTATCCAATAGCTTTTCTTTGAAAACAATCTAAGAGCTTAACAGTTAAATTTTCTTTCTAAATATTTTTCGAAATTTGTACAATGAAAAAGATATCATGTGCAAATCTTCAAATCTTATATCTTATACAAGATATAAACTTTATTTAGTGGAAAATATTGTGAGCATATTTTTAGAATTACTATTAGTAGTCTTAAAGATTCTATATGGCTGTTATAGAGAGATAATTTTACAAAGAGCATTTTGCTATGAATGTGGTTGTTGTTGTTGTAGGTAAAAAACTGTTATAGAGAGGTAAAATATAACATGAAAAATCGGTTATGAAGAAAATTTGGCGTTTATAGTGAATGATTGTTTATATAAGGATTATGTTATATAGAAATCTGATTGTATGTTAATTCTACATAGGATTACCAAATAGGTTGTATATGAATTAATACTACCAAAAGTTTATGCATGCATCATCTTCTCCGATGTATCCTACCAAATGACCGCTTAGGTTCTCAGGACGCCATCTATTTGTTTATTCATAAAAGGGCCATAAATACCACTAAGGTATTGAAAATTGATCAATTTTTTCCTTCTTCCACCTATTGGGTCATAAATGTCCTTAACGTTACTTTTTGTCTTAAAAATGCCATTCACACTAACTATTGACTTATTGACCATATGAGGTTTTGTAAAAATAGACATGGCACTATTCAGTTGGTTCATATTTAAGGCTAATTTTTCTTAGATCCGTGTCTGCCCTAAATATTTAACCCGCCCTATAAGACATTTATCTTCTTCTCAACAGCTCCAATGTCCAACTATTTCTCCTCCAAATAAACTCATCGTCCGTATCTCTTTATTTTTCTCTCAACTATTTCTCATTAAACACATCAATCTCTTTTACCACAATCAACATGTTTAGAACAAATTCTTTTATTCTTTTCCTTAGTTCTTCCCTAGAACCCTAGAAGTTTATTAGTTATAGACTTAGCATATCAGTCATGTCTAAATTCTTGTTATACATAACGCTTACAAATCAACGGATTAATCAAGCTTTCAAATATATTAACTTCGTTCCTGAATAGTAAACAAGTATATTAACAAACAAAAATTCATCCTTTGATAGAACACCACACAGAGCTACAAAAAAAAAAGGAAATTAACTTGAAACCGAGAACTGATACTTAGAGCATACCCAAGAAAAAAAAATCTCAAAACTACAAGTTTTGTATACTTTAATTACACTACAAAACTTATTATTATACCCTCATAAAAATATATTTGAACAATATATTGTAAATGGGGTTAGAAAGTGAAGTCTCACTTGACAAATAAATCAACTAAACTTAAGTTAAAGATGGACTTTGAATCAAGATTTCGAAAGATCGGCTATAGAGGGTTGAACCAGCATACTAATGACATGAAAAATTTTCGACACTTCCTTTAGTGACTTTGCTATGTTTTTATATTTAGTCTACAACTCATATATGGTGTCATCCTTGAAGCTTTAAATTAACCAAGAAAAACTAGCAGGGCACTGTAAAAATCATAATTTTGGTATTCAAATATATTTACAAGTTCGGAAACTATGAAAAATCTGGCGAAATTTGTGTCAAGAAAATCCGCAATGAATCAATCTCCCTGCAAAGTATTTGTAAAATTGTCTCAAAGGATAATGTCTTTCTTCTTGGCCTTGCATGCGCATGGATTGTTGACAATCTGAGGCTGATGCGAAATTTGTGTTAATAATCACCAAGAGATGCGAAGATTTCTATCTTAGAAATCTGGGTTAAAAGTTAAATTTATGGAACGGATCTAATAAAATTATCCTTAAATACGAACTAATAGAATAGTGCCACATGTACTTTAAAATCTCGCTTGGTCAAAAAGTCGGTAATTAGTGTAAAGGGCATTTCTAAGACAAACTAACGTTTAAGAACATTTATGGTCAAATATGTGAAAGGAGGACAAAATTGAATCATTTTCAATACCTTAAGGATATTTTTAGCCCTTTTCCGTTAATTTGTGTAGTCATTTTGGCCAATATGGTTTTGCATTTACAAGCAATAAAAAATGCAGACGAGTATTTTTCATTTAAAAAATATTTTAGTTGTTTGATCACTAGAGGAAGTCATTCTTGACGGTTATTTTAATTTTTAAGTTCATAGGGGTATTATTTACTCCAACCAACAATTAATATTATTATTAGTATCTAATACTCAAAATTTAATAAAATTAATATCTGATTTTCTAATATCATTATTAATCACTAAAATATTCTACCTACTATTTTTACAAGAAATATTTTTCCTTGACAAATCAAACAAACAAACAATTTAAAAAAAAAATAGTTCCCATGTAAAATTTGTTCAATAAGGATATCAAACACATCAGTCGGCCACAATCAGAGTGAAAAAATACTAATGATTTCTCGAAATCATAAGCAAACAGTAAGCAGAAAAAGTTTTAGGTCAATTTCCCAGTAGTTAAGAGGCTCAGATCTGCAAAGAGAAATCGGGCAAAAGAGAGGTGACAACGCCATGGCTGCAAAATCGCCGGCCGTCCGGTGATTTGCCAAGCCAAGATACGGGTCAAATAGTCTCCACACCCGACCCAGTTAGCCCAGAACCCGAATACATAATCATCACTGCCTCGAGACAAAACGGAGAAACAATGACCAACAAATACAGAAACAGAGAAATAGAGTTGTTGCTGATGAAAAAACTGAAGAATTAATTATATGTTTTCTATGTTCATCAGTCCAAGGGTTGTTATATATAAGTGGAAGAGGAAAAATCATTGGCTAAACAGAGAGGGTCAACCACCCTTTGAAAAAAATCCCAAAATCTCTGTTTTTGCCTCATTTTTTTCTTTCCTTTTCTTGGCTAACTTTTCTTTGCTTGCGAAATCCTTAAATGAATTTCCACATTTCACTTTTGGTGCTCTCTTGTTATAAATACACTCTTGTTCGGAAGAATCTAGAAGGGGTTATGGGGTAATTTACCTATAAATTTAAGTTATATTTAAATATTTTTTTATACTATCAGTAAAAATGTAATACTCCTAAGTAATAACTAAATAAGTAGTCCCTCCGTTCACTTTTAGTTGTCAAATATTCTAACACTAAATTTTTATTTTTATTTGTCATTTTTCGCATATCAAGAGAAAAATAATTTATTTTTCTGTTTTGCCCTTAGCATTAATTACCCATTTCAAATCATTTTTCAAAATCATTAAGACTATACACCATTTAATATGGGTATCATGATAAAGTGAACGGAGGGAGTAACTATTTTATCAGATTTTTAATTA